TCAGTGCCCACCCCACCACTCCCCTTTGTGAGGAAGCTGTAGGCTGCCATGAGGCCTCCCCTTAGTGTTCTCTCTAGGCCAAACTAAATGACCTCAGCTACTCCTCATGTGTCCCCTCTAGACCCTTCATCTTCGCTGCCCTCCTTTTGAGGGTCTCTAGTAGTTACATGTCCTCCTTCTATTGTGGTGACCAAAACTGCATGCAGTACTCAAGGTTAGACCACAAAGCTCAGAGTAGAGGAGGACAATCACTTCCCTGAACTAGGTAGCAATGCTGTGTATTTTTGAGACTCCATATATACCTCCTGAACCTATATCTAAATCACACTCCTGAGGGGATTTTACTTCAGACGTTTCTAAACAGTTCAAAATTTGTATATTGTCTCAGACACCTGTGTTTATAAGAGACAGAATATTATTATTTTTTTTTACATTCCCATTTGCCTTGAGAGGTTTATTTCATTATTTTAAAGCCACATTGAACATTCACAAGGAGTGCATTACTACAAGCGTTTCCCATGTCTACATTTATTTACTCATTTTCCCATAAGATGAGACATAAATAACTATCAGTGGATTGGACTCTGTTCATACATGAATCATGACATATATACATATTGTATCTTCGTACTGAAGATTTCAAAAAATGTCATTGCTGTTGCCAGTATCAACATCATCAAAAAACCTCAAAAATGGAAAATTCTGCTGAAGGAGAAAAATATTTTTTCACTATATCTTTCTGTTTTCCTTTTAACACACAAAATAAACAGCTTTGAGGAGAAAATGAAAAATGCTCTAGATATAATTGATGTTCTAAGCCAGCAAGTCACAATATGCAAAGTCCAATTTCAGTTTTTCTTTGTTTCCCACAAAAAAACAAAAACAAAACTTCTATAACCAAATATGCTGTTCAATTTTCCTCAGACATGTAAAACAGTATCTTTAATACTAAAAATTCTTTGAGTTTTGACTACCAATAGCACCACTTGAAAATTCCATTTTTCCCTGTTCAAGATGAGAAAGTGACTTAAAAGCAATGCATCCCTTTAGGAAAAAAATAACTTTTGGAGATGCTCTGGTAATATTAATGGAATTCTCTTAATACAAAGAAATGTTTGCATTCACATTCAGTGAGATTCAGCTAGCTTACCAAAATGAATTATTTTAAAGGTCAAGGAGCAAGCAGTTTCCATCTACAGTGAATAACAAATGATCTTTCTGGATGCCACTAGCATTAAATATCTCAAGATTTTGGCTCACATCTTTGCCTTAATGTCTTAGAAGATATGTAAATTCATGTGGAATGGTGTATGAGTCATAAGTGGTGCTCCCCAGGGGTCAGTGTTGGGGCCCATACTTATTATCTTTATTGGTGATTTGGATAAGGGAACTGAATGCACCCTTAGCAAATTCGCAGATGACACCAAGTTGGCAGGGAAGCCTTGGCCTGTTGGAGGGTAGGAAGATCCTGCAGAGGGACCTGGACAGATCAGATTGGTGGGCAGAAGCCGATGGGACGATATTCAACATGGCTACTAAGTGCTGGGTCCTGCACTTTGGCCACAATACCACCACACAATGCTACAGGCTTGGTACAGAGCAGCTCAAAAGCTGTACAGAGGAAAAGGATCTGTGGGTTTTGGTTGATGGTCAACTGAACACGAGCCAGCAGTGTGCCCAGGTGGCCCAGAAGGACAAGATCATCCTGGCTTGCATCAGGATGAGCATAGCCGGCAGGACCAGGGAGGTGATCACGCCCCTGTACTCAGCTCTGGCAAGGCCACACCTTGAGTACTGTTTTGGGCCCTTCACTATAAGAAGGACATCAAGGCCCTGGAACACGCCCACAGAAGGGCTACAAAGCCATTGAAGGGCCTGGAACACAAGTCCCATGAGAAGCAGGTGAGGGAAATGGAGTTGTTTAGTCCAGAGGAAGCCCAGGGACACCTTATTACTCTCTACAACTACCTGAAAGGAAATTGTGAAGAGCTGCATATTAACCTCTTCTCATAGATAACTGGTCTTACAGATAACTTGTGACAGGACAAGAGGGAATGGCCTCAGAATTACACCAGGGGAAATTCTGGTTGGAAATTAGGAGAAATTTCTTCTGAGAGTGGTTAGACATTGAAACAGGCTGCCCAGGCAGGTGCAGGAGTCACCATCCCTGGGGATGTTTAAGGAAGAGTTGGGTATGGTACTTAGGGATGTGATTTAGCAGGTAATATTGGTGGTAGGTGGATGGTTGGGCCATATTATCTTGGATTCGATTCCAACCCAAATTCTAACCCTAATTCTATGAAATACTGCTAACAGCAAATAAAGCAGTGTGCTGCTGTACCCAGCATATCAATTAACATCATAAATTTGTCCTCAGAATTGGACTATGTTGTTTGTGTATTTGCAGGTGAAGGAGACAGCACACAAGCCAGGATATAACACATAACTGACATTCGTGCTCCTATACATGCATTTTTTATATTGGGATTATAATTACCAACCAAGCCAATGGGGAATCCAACTTTCACATACTAATTTCACTTGAGATGAAAGCCTACCCCATCTGGAAGTTAAAGGACATTTTACTCTTACTTTAATAGCAAGGATTACAACTTGGTTGTTAATGAAAAAGGCTTCTTTATTGACCTCATTATTTTGTATCTTGTTGGTTGGTTACCTTTTGAAAAAGTAACGAGATCCATTCAGACATCATTCTTCATTTTATGAAGCTCACAGGATTGAAGTAGAAATAAAGAAAATTAAACAGCTATGTTATTATGACAATGAATCAGACATCATGAAGGAAGCCTAACATTATAAGTCTAACATTAAGTATAAATCCTTAATATAGAAGTATTCAATTTTGTGGGCTTTTGAACTCCTATCTGAACTACTCACAGTAGCTAACTGAGCCATATCATCTATCATGATTTTCTTTAAGTAGGGAAAAATACATATCCATGCTTGTTCTGCTCAAACCGAGATCACAATAGTTGGGAAACCCAAGAAAATTTCACTCTAAGAAAAAAAGGTTCAGTGCTGTTATTTAGATATATCCTAACATTTCTTGAACTCTCTAAAAGCACATTATCCTCTTAGGCTAGATGGTCTCTCCAGCATGACTAGTCCAAGCTCACTAATTGGAATGGAAAAACCTAGGGTGTCCAAGCAAAGAGTTTACTGCAGGAAGAATACCCTCAACCGACCCAAAACAACAAAAACAACTGAAAAACCTCAGAAGGTAGTCAATAAAGTCAATTAAAAGATTTTTTTTTAGGTGAAAAGCTCAGTTAAAATGAAGTTCAGGATACTAGAGGGAGAAAAAGCTAAAAAGGAATCAAACACCTTGTCATCAATTGTCAAGAGGCTTTACTTGTGATGTGCCTATTCCTGCTGTCCTCCCAATAGCAAAATGAAGGACAACCAATAATAGTATTTATATCAAACAGGAAAAAACAGATCAACTATGATGGCCACAAAGAAGACAAAAGACCATGATGAGCAAGAACACTAAATGAAATGAGTTTTGTGGCATAATTATTAGCCTAGTCTGCTTCTCTCAGATCTTCCTGGTATTAGTGTTCTTTACTTCTAATTGGGTCAATTTTGTAAAGTCAAATAATCCACATATCCTGGAAATAATTGTCTGCAAAATATCTTTGTGGCAGTTTATTTTTCCTCTGAATGCTATCTCTAGATTTTAACCCCATCCTTTACATCTTAACTGATATTGTTTCTCTTCTAACCAGCTCCTTCAAACATTGTCATATTGCAGTCTGACAAATATTACAAAGGCTGATAAAATACATGATTTTTTTTTAATGAGAAAAACAGACTAGTGTGGCATGTATTCTGCCAAGACAGAACCTGACCCCTGGAGTGAATTTTCATGAGAAACTTAGTGATCAGCTCAGACTCAGACACTAGATGAAACCAGATAACCTCTCAGGTAGAGAGATTTAAAAGCCCATCTACCACTTTCTTCGTGAAACATTAATTCAGAGAATTAAAATGCAGAGAAGTAAAACAAGTCTAAACAGAAAAACTGGAAATAAATAGGGCTACATACAGTGGCCAAGTTTAATTTTTGGCCTAGACTGTTGAATTATTAATTTTGCACCTCTCCTCTCAAAAGTCTGATCTGGGCAAAGCATAACAGCCAAGTGTGCAGTGTTGGGACGAAGCAGAAATAATGAAGTGTTACAGTCCAATAGGGAATGTAGGTTAAGGATTTAAACAGTCAAAAAAAAGCAAAATGGGAATGGCTGATGCAAAACAGTCTGTCTGCCAGAAAAAGTATTCAGGAGGGAAAGCCACCTGCAGTAGTCATGTCAGAAGAGGCCTAGCCAGGCCTCCAGTCAGGATAGGGGCCAATAGCTTGTATTTTGAAATCTGACTTAGTTTAAATGTTAGTAAAATACAATCTAACGCATCCTTTTCACTGGATTGAACTGTGAATTTAAGAAATATAACAATCTAAGAAAAAGATTGTGGAGCTGTATATATCCCACACTAGACTGTTATTGGCTGTAGTACAAGAATGAAAAAAATATATCCACATATGTTCTATAAAACTGCAGAATAGTTACTTATACCATGAAAACATAAAATTATTTATGTATCTATAATTATGCACACCTTTTATAGAATGGGTTAAAAAACTGATTATAACATCTATAAACACATCATGAGGGGTATGAAATTATTTTTCTTTTAATCTCATATCTGCTGAATTCTTTTTCTTCCTGTTAGAAATGTAATACTGAACTGGATGGTGTCCTGATTCAGAACCAAAAGCAAAGGAAGTAGGAAGGAAATTAAGACCCCAAAAGTAAATGAGTGCAATATGGACAGATAAAACAAAGAGATGCTTAGATCAACCATCGTACTCTATAGAAAGACTAAAGAACTAAAGGAAACAGTCATTTTTTTCTACCTTTATTACCCTTTCCCCATCCCTAAAATTTCACTGGGCTCCCAGGAAGCAGCAAAATGTTTGATGCATTTGAAGATTTAATAAGTTTTCAGTACAAGTCAAATTGGGTTTGGGCAGATCCTTCAAGTCTGGGCAAGTTGTCTTCCTGCATTTGTATCTCCCAAAAATTAACAGGTCAGAGTCATACAGGCATATGAAAGATCAATCACTGTAATTGTAAGGGCAGCCCATTATTAAAAGTTTCATAATAAAAAAGAACAAATATCCAATCTACTGTTGACAGTAGTCCAAGTGATAGGTATTATTACAGAAGCAACTCAAACATTTGCTTCCCTACTGGAACAGCAGAGGTGTGAGGCCTTTCTGTTCAACTTCCAGATTTTACAGATAGTTCAGCATACAGAAATTGTCTGCTTTCAACATTGTTTCCAGATGTACTCTTGGCCAGCTTTCTTCTTCTTGGAAAAATCTGAATGACCTGAACCTTGGGAACATAATTATACTCCAGGATAAAAAATAACATTCTCTGCTAATAAAGAACAAAAAGTTGAAAGGCAAAAAGATATTTGATGATTTAACACCTAAACTGTTCTTAATCCCAGAATAAAGGGTAGCAAGGGTAGCAGGAATTTTGATGACTTCAGCCATTGTCAAATTTCTATATGTGAATACACTCCAAAATATTCAAGGGGTTAATAAGATTGCTGTGACACAGAATCAAAGCTATATGTGTCCACTGAATCACAGATTACTATTACACATCACATTATTATACTCTATTCTTGAAGAAAACAGGTTAATTGGAGAAAATATAAAACTCTGGCATATAAATAAATCAAAGCTATAGATTTTGGACTTAAACAGTGCTACCTAACACCCCTGGTAGTGCATGCAGGCTGTATTTATTTTATTAGTATAGGCTATGACATTCATGTGACACTAGTGCGAGACACGCTGGTCAGTGGGCAATACAACCAACCCACATGCAGCAAATCTGCTCAGTCTGCTTTCAGCCAACATCCAAAACTCTTTGGCCCAACAGTGACAGACAAATAGACTGCAAGAGCCAGAGCAAATAAGCACAGCCAGGTCCCCAGAGATGTCACTCCCAAGAGCCCTGTGACTGCCTCCTGGCCAGACTGCCAACCTCCCACAGACAGACCTGCAGCTAGTACATGACAGGAGGCCACTGGGGTCTTTCCAGCAAAATACATCGCTGCTAGTGCATCATGGGTTACAATAGGTTACAAGAATGATCCAACTCACCCATAAATACTCCATAAGCTGTAGTTTAAGCAATATTGCTTTTGATTGTTCAAATCTCAAGCAGCTGAATTCCATCCTCCAATGAACTGCTATGCTAAGAAATCTATTGTCTGTTCAGAAGGAAAATTTCTTTGGACCAAATAGAAAATAGTACAAGAAGTTACCTGCTGAGTTCATGTCACTTACCAGGTACATATCTTTCATCTGATAAGTATATTTCATCACCATACAGGAAAATGTTATTAATGAGACCAGCACAATACCAACTGCTAACAACTTCTGTGCCAGTTGGTGTGTGGCATGTTAGAGGAGTAAAATGCTGGGAAATTGCTTCATCTTGCTGGTAGACATGAGGCTGTGTTTTCAGACCAGGAATTTGCTGGAAAGAAACCACTTCCAGTGCACACCAGGTTAAGGAATCTGCAGTTATCTCAGTTTGAATCTCTGTAAGAGTTGTTCTTTCAAAATGAGTTCCTTCCTACTTCTGATACTGAGGTCTATTCCTCATGGAGGAACTATGCACATGCAGTTCATGGGAAGTCACACTGGCAGCAAAGAAAAGTGACACCACAAGTAGACCATCTCCTTCCACCTTCAGTACATCCCAACACTCCATCAGCTCTGGCCACATAGTCTTTCCCCATGGCTTTCCTCTAGGCAGAGAATTTGAAATTTGAATCCTGTCTTGTCCTGGCAGGATCAAAGTGCAGCCACACCTGATAACTGGAAAGTGCTCCTTCTTCAGCAATACAGATACAGCCTGCAGTACTGAGAGCCTTTGAAAAATTTCTAGGGCTTGCCATGCAGGTGTAGTTGACTATTCAGGAGTAGCTGCCAAACACTGAAAAACCTGTTCAATTTCTTTCCTCTAATTCCATATAAGTAAAAACTGTTTCAACCTCTGTCTTTTAGGACTGCAGTTTCCAGCTATCCTGAATTCAGTGTTGCTTAACCATCTATAACAAATCCTCATCAGCATTCACAAGTGGCATATTAAGATCACTTGACATGTTAAATTTAAGTTGTGATAAATGTTGAAAAACTAGTGTTACTTGAAAGCGTACTTTTTTTTTTTGCTGGAAATGCATCTACTATGACAAACAATTATGTAGCACTTTTAAAAAAAACAAACAAAATGTTGTTCCTTCCAGTGGAAGGTCATTATGAGGTCAAAATGATTTTGCATCTCCTGCTAACTGTTGATGCTTTCTTTTCCCTACAGGCAAAGATTAGTGTTCGAGCAACGTTATTTTCCAAGCATTACTACTATTTAGCTCACTAGGAAAAAACAGAGTTTGCTTTCTAAGCACTGGAAAAAAAGCAATTCAAATACAGCTAACGCTAGCAGACATCATTGTTCAACTCTGTTACAAATAGAAGTTGTGTTGCTCAGGTAGGATTTCAGAATAGCCTTTCTTAACATCTGATTTCTACACAACTTTTTTTCTCCCTCTTGAGGTGAAGCTGAAAAAACATAATCTGCCAGTGGGAATCTGTTCCCATCAGGAAAGAGGTCAGCAGACTACAGCTGTGGAGTCACACACGGCTCTTTCAGAAATCTTAGTATTCATCTTTTTGTTTGTTGATTTTTTTTCCATGGGGAAACAGCATTTTAAGAAGTCAAGAGTTGCATCAGAAGGAGTTTTACATATTAGAACCCAAAGCCTTTGTCTCATTTTCTTGATATCTACTTTATCTCAATGTCTACCTTAACAACTATTCACACCCACTATGCCCCCAACCCAAGAGAAGCTCAGCAAGTGTTTGAGAGGAGAGAGAGGATAAAAAGGTTTGCCATACCACTACACTTCTGACCAGAGGAAGACAGTTATTTTCAGTCTTGGGGTCTGAGGTCACACATCAGCCAGTTCACATAGCATTTTACATGGCTGTTGCCAAAAGAAAAGCACAAAATGCAGGACATCACTAAGTTGATTGTCTCTTACCCATGCAGCTAGGGTGCTTATTTGGGTTTGTCTTTAGAAATGAAACAGGCTGATATGTTGTCAGTAGGCAGGGAATCAAAAACAATAGACAAAAAGTCAAAGTGAGTTGGGTAAGCAAACAAAATCTATCCAGGGAACTGAACTCCTTGGCAGTGGTACCAGTGGATTCCAGTGGAGCCTGAGTTTGGAAAATTTCAGGACCTAGAGGGATCAATTTTTCATATTTATTTTAGATTCCTGTTGTAGATTTGGATTTTTTCTCCTGTTAGGTCTTTCTTTCTTCCTCCAACAACTGGATGGCAGGTCAGGAAAAAAAAGTGAAAATATGTACTTACTATGCAGTACATTGGAAGACTCCCTTTGAACTTGCTACTATAAATAGGATGACAAACAAAGCTATTGACATTATTCACTATCAGAAAGGAAATAGTGTCTGACTACTCCACCTGAAATACAACTTCAGAAAACAGTTTAAGCACATAAAAGTTACAGCATGAGTTAGTTCTGTCACATTACTGTACTGTTTTTTCACAACATTGTAAGACTACTTACAATCCCCAAAAGAAAATAGGAGCAAATGGCAACACATTTACCAACAAGAACCTGGTAACAATATCCTTCAGGGACACAACCCATTGTTTTGGGAAACTAGCAATCCTAAATTCAAACTATAAATTACAATGACCGTTGGCATTTCATTAAAGTGAATTCTTTGTTTGCAAGCACAACTGTTTTGGTTTTGTCTATTGGGTTATCAGAAGAAATGAACTCTAAATCCTCTATGCAAAGCAAAAAAGCTATTTACAAGAAAAATGACCATTTGCAGATGAACAGCTTTTAAAGAAAAATGCAACATTTACAAGACAATTTTTAATCTTTTATTTGAATATCAGAGTTCTGGGGCCTAAACAAGTCCAATGTTTAATACTTAGCTTTACTGCTAAAAAATCCCTCTAGTCATTTTAGTATGCAAAACCAGAAGAAGTAGCTAGAATAAAAAAATATTTAAGAACTCCATTTAGCTCTCAAAAACAAAAATTGATTTTATTACATCCCGAATACATCTCTAAATACAAGTGCAAACCAGCAGATAAGACTTTTTTGCTAACTCATAGTAAAAAGTCAAAACAAAATCCTACAGATGAGTCACATACATATTTGTATTGGTTTAACTAATCACACTCAAGGGTGACTTTTGAGTCCAGTGAAATTGTTTTTGGCTTCTACTTGTAGACAGGACCTTTACCATTAAGAGGTGTTTTGAGACAACGCATTATTACATTATTCCAGTTCTGTCACACACAGTTTATTTGAATGAAAATTTAATCAGCTACCCAGAAAACAAATCTTTTCCTGATGGAATTCAAAACAAGCTAATACCCAAGCTCCTTTGGGAATTTGAATATAGCTCTGAACACAAATACCATGGATTTATATCTTGCACAGCTGAAAGTGCCAGACTTCTGCACCTTAAAAACTGAGAACAATTATAAGAATTTCAAAATATACTGGAGTAAAATGTTACATGTAGATGCAAATCAACAACTGAGAAACTTTCAGAACTGCATTTACACTAAATATCACAAACAAAGTAAGAGTTTGAGAGTTTTAAGAAAACAAATGCCCTACTTGGAGTACAAGGATACTGAATATACCACAAAATGAAATCTCTCCATTCTACTGAGCACAGGCAAGACTTAACCAAAAGGCTATCTCCCACTCCGGGCATCCCACTTCATGTGGGATGTGTGGAGAGAAACCAGAAGGGAGCAAAAAACAACAAGCTTTTCAGGGTGCAGAAAGATTGAAAGAACTGGATTTACTCTCTGAAGAGTAAACTGCAAAAAGCCACAATAAAGCATTTCAACTTTCTAGAATATGCCAAAAAGGCAACTCGCTTTTCATATCCACGATACAGCTAAATAGCTCATTTTTAATCTGCAGCAAGGAAATTCCTAGCTGTAAAGACAATTACACTAACAAACTTGAAGACTGCATGGTATTAAGAACTTGTAGTTTTCCTCCCTCAGGAGGGAGGCAAAGTAGAACAATATTCTAGTCCCCACAAGCCTTACTTGTCACAGAGGTCATAATAAAAATTGGAACCTAACATATACACATAAGTTTGTACTTCTGCACATTGCTTGTCATTCTATCATTGTGCACCTCAGAAAAGCCTAGCTCCACCTTTTCTGCATCCCAGTTTAACAGCTACATTCAAAATATAAGCAGGAAAACAAGTCATTGAGTCCTAATCTATTCCAAGCAGCACAGTAGCTTATTATGAAATAACAGACCACTAGAATTGCACAGTTTTATTCTGGAATGTGATAGCATATAAGCAACTTTCTTGTTAAAGATATATCTTTATTCACATACCAATATTATGTAGACAGAAATTCACAGGACAGTTTCTCTTCTGTAAGCTTCTCTGCTGATAGACAGCCTTCTCCAATAGACTCATCTGTATTATGACCAGTGTTTAAGCACTCCTGACAATGCAGGGCTACATCTTCAACTACTATAGGGCTTCTCATGAATTTCACTGTTTTCTCACTTTGAGCAAGCTTGTGAAACAGTCTACATATACATTTCTAAACACATTCGGGGAGTTACAAAAAACAAATATCAGGAGGTATGAAAAAACCACTACATTTAGCAACACTGCTAATGAGGTTGTTTTATTAGGCCCATTATAATGACTAAAATAAGAACTGCAGATGCTTGATGAATTATTCATTGAATGGGTGTTTCAAGGGGTAAGCATGACCAAGCTCATTCTGCAGTAACTGTATATTAAGCTCTCCTGGGTTTTGCAAGTTAATTTTCTCAAATTAATTCAGAGGAATGTTTAGAACACATTATGTCTGCCACATGCCTGTGTACAAGCGTACTTCTACCCAACTACAGAGATGTTTCCTCTGAATTATCTTTCTGGAGACCAAAGAAGTGGAAACTGGTAAAAAGATGAAAACAAGTATTTTGTAATTTATGGACTAACTTGACTGTCTGCCAACTTCACGGACTAATACACTCACTAGTAAAGCAAGAAGAATAAGTTAAATCCTCAGAAGTTTTTTGTCACTGATTTTATTCTGTAGGGATTCTCCCAGATGGGACATACATGAAAGGACTAAACCTTCACTCCTAGAATTCTTAAATCCTCAAGTATGTTCCAAAAAGAAAAGTTACCAACAATCAGGTTCATATATGCTGTCTTTTTTTTTTAAAAAAGGTACCAGATTTTATTCATACATTTTTTCTTTCAGTGATTTATTTAAAGCAGTTGAAAGATACAGCAGCAGTTTAGCAGTAATGAAAATTCCATTTCTTGTAGCACTTGTGTCTTGGCTCAATAGTTGCTGATTTGCTCCAAAATATATTACATAATAAAATGGAATTTCCAGACAGAAGCCAGTAGTTTATAGCTAGATATACATCAGAGGAAACCTCTTCTACACTTTGGCTACTAAATATATGCTATTGGTTCTTGACAGAAATACCTTCTGCGTTACGTTTATTTTTGTTCCCCAAAGCCATTTAGAAAGCACTCCATAGCATACTTCCAATTCATCTTCTAAATAGTTGCAAATGCAAAAATTTATCTTTTAGTTGGGCAAAGTAAGAATTTCTAATTAGCAGCTAAATGCAAGCTCCTGAAGTAATTTTAAAAAAAACATTTTCCCCTGAAGATGACAATTTGGGTAATTAAAGGTTGATTTCTGAGGAAAGCATGTATTGGAAATTAGCAGAAACATATTCAGCTGTCAGAACAATCAACAATTGGAGTGCTGATGGTGGAGTTGGGAAGAATCACCATTTCTGAAGAACTGTGGAATGGAGTCATAACATTCAAACTTAAATACTGGATCTAAAAGAAATTAAAGATTATAAACCAATGATCTACAAATAAATGGTGGAACTTAAACTGTTTATGGAATGCATCTAGGAAATTCATTGGATAAAGAGGGGGAAATCCTGATTTTATTTAATGTGGAAAAAAATGAAATTTTCAAACAGTTGTATTGATCATTGAATCATTCAGGTTGGAAAAGACCTCTAAGATCATCATAGATGTTAGCACTGTTTTCAAAACATGTCCAAGTGGATAATTTCATAATATCAAAATGCTTGAGCAAATTGAAATAATGCCAGCACAATCCATTAGGCGATTATCTAATTCACCATATGAAAAATGAAGGTAAAAAGAAAGTAGCCTGAATGTATTGTGGTGAAGTCACAGATACAACTAACAGAGGAAGACCAATTCATAAGCTTGGGTAATCAGGTTGCCATAAGGCATAGAAAACAAACAAGACCACTACAAAATTCTTGAGTACATGGCAGAAGTTATTAAAATTCATTCTGTCACATAAACCTTGCATACTATATTGAAAAGTTACCTAGCAGCACCTCAGCTCTTCACATCAGTCTTTAAAACATTTTTTCCTGTGGCATGGGATTAGAAAATAGTTTGAGGAAAAGAAATCTGAACAGATTTCATCAGAAATAATACCTCTCAGAAAGTTAGGAAGTATATTCTTCAGAGAAATTGCGACCTTCTCATTTAAAAAAAGTACACAAATGACTCAGCCTGTCATAAGCAAAAGAAAAATATATCCCTAAGAGTACCAGATTTTCTCATTAAAGGAAACAAAACACACCAGAAAAAGAAATAGGCTTCTCAACAAATAGGTTCTGATTGTTCACATATCAAAAGAAGACCTGTCTTCTGCAATGATCCTGTCAGAAAGCCAATAAACCAATAAAATATAAAATCTCACTTAAATATCTTATAATAAAATTCTGCCTTTATTGGTATTAATTTTCTAAGAATAAAATCATTGAGATTGTTCAAAAGTCTGCATTCAGTAGTTACTTGTATAGAAGTATTAAAATACACAGTGAAAAGCCTAAGTAATTTGTATTTCATAGAAAAGCAGCCAAAGTATCTACATATCTACATTTCTAATAGGAACAAAGCAGTGTTCTGTGGAAGAAAAACCATGAAGTTTTAAGACACCTTGCTTCATGATAGAACTTCATAAACACTTTTGTCTTCAAAATATACAAAACTTCTATGAAATCTAGTATTTCAACTTTTCTGTTCTTCAAAAGCTGTCAATTTTTCATGGACTCAGTACGTGAGATAAGGGCCTTTTTTCCTTATTAGATTTAGAGGAAATTTAGAGGAAACAAAGGAAATTACATCAATTTAAGAGGCACTCTTAAATTACACTTAATTTTAGTTAAAAAATAAAAGCTCCCTGCATTGCATCACTACCATGACAACATGGGTCAAAACCAGCAAAATGTATTATTCAAGAGGTCTCAAGGACAAATGATACAGTTCTAAGATACTTTAGTGCTCTGCCTTCACTCGTAAGGAAGAATCACAGCTCCACCAGTGCCACAGACAGTATGAGTGCTTGACCACCTGGCCAGGCTGCAAGGGGCTGCAGATGGCTAGGAGTGCAGCCATCTTGTAGCCCAGGGCTCAGCTCACACAGCTCTTGCCTCTTGGCTGGTACAGCCCCAAAGACACTCAGGTCAGGCCTCAGTGGTGCTCAGAGCCACAGTTCCAACAACAATTAATGACTCCATAAGTCTAGTGTTCTGCTAAGGAACCTTTATACTGGAAAAGTATTTCTCTCTCCATTAAAAGATGAATCTTTCTGAATACGTGAAAATAAGCTTGGAAATGGTTTTAAGCTTTCCCCTAAAAACAATCCCATTCAACAAATGCAGGAGAAATCATTTGTTCTTCC